TCAGCAGGAGAACACAACTCTTTAAGATAAAAGTAAACTTCAGACTTCAGACTCTCTAATTATTTCATTATTCCTTCTGTTTTTAATTCTCAAAAAACTAATGACGACCATGCCTTGGAGTACCAGATTCTAGGGCTATAACAATCCACAAACAGAAACTCTCACCTGACCACAGCATACACAACAGAATAACAGAGAAAATTAGTATCTAAAAGTTGTCATTTTCAATAGAGTTTAATTTTCATGTAAAATCTTTGCATTGTTAATCAAAGTAAGATCATTCCAGTTATGATTTTTAAGATAATTATTATAAAAGTCAAAAAACTAAACATACATCATAATTTATAATTGGATTATGGTGTAAAAAACCTTTACCCAGACAATATATTCCTATGAAGCCCGAATACATAAAAAATGGAAAAGTACCTATGTCGGATGATAATACTCCTTAGATACTCCTGGATACATGACCGAAAAGTATCCAATCTTTATTTTATTTTTTTTTAACCTTTTTTTGGGGTACTTCTAGATATGTGTATGAAAAGTATCCAAAATGTTTGTCTTAAACTTTTCGCAGTCATTTTTTTTGTCATAATGGAAAAAGAATTGGAGTAGATACTCCTTTATTCATTATTTGAAAAAAAACAAAGTGGACCCAAAAAGGTAGAAGATTTAGTTTATGTGCAATTCAACCTTTCGTCTATGAAAGATGAAGGGAATAAAAAAAGAAAGACTAGTTTGTGGGACATTGGTAGAGATATACACCATCCACTTGATGATGTGTTAGATTTCTTGAATAGATAGAATTGTCTCTTCTTGAACCAAACTTTGAAACCATGTTTTTCTTTTCTAGATGATGGTAATTGGGGAGAAGAGAGTGATACAATTAGCATTAGACAATAAATTAGTAATATAGAGCCAATATTAGTTTTAAGTTCTACTAAAAATGCTTTTATTAATATAGTTAACTTCACATGGGTAAAAACTGTATTTTTTGTTATGATCACAAATATCTTTTTTGTACATTGTAATCATATCATAGTTATGAATTAATGTCTCTTCCTTAACCAATATTTTACATTTATATAAATTTTTATTCTATAAAATTTTATTAACATATCGTATCCTAAATTTTTTTAAAAAAAATTGTTGTATATCTGTATGACTGTATCCATGTTGTATCGTACCTGTATTGCACTAAGCATTTGGGGTTCACATGTATATTCTAATTAAATTGTTTTAAATATCAGAAAGTAGATCATTGTATGCAAAAGTTTTCCTCTAAAAGGAAATGCTAAAAGAAATCAACAACTCCAGTAGTCCACAAAAGTGGAATCGTATGAAAGCAACGAGATAACAAATTGGTTGAACTGAAATACGAATTAGATTCAGCAGTTGAGTTGAGAACCTAAAACTGCAGATGCAGCTCAATAATTACGGAGCTTTGGTGCATAAAAATCGAATTCCCTAACAGCTAAGCATATTAAAAAGAGAGAGAGTAAAACAAACGATTGTGTTGTGTGAAATTAGCAGTGAATATAAACTTGTTTCGCAACCAAAATTAAAAATTAAAAAAAAATGTGGAAAATGGAAAAGGAAACCTGCTTCTTTGCGAGCATAGGTCCGTCGCAAACTCCAACTACAATCCGATGCTTCGCCAACTCCGCTGAGGCCTACACAGAAGCTTTGGCATTATAGAAATGAAAGAAATGGAAATATCTGAAAAAGAAGAGAAGGGAGGAGAGAGAGACGGTGAGGACGAGGCGGTGGCCGTCGTGCAATCGGTCAAAGGTGCCACCATTGACGACGGCATCGTAGGTGTTGGGCGGAGAGAGGGTGGGAAGCACGTGATCATCCTCAACCGCCATTTGATGGCTTTGAATTAAGTTAGGTGCGTCAGACATCAGAAGAGGATCGATGGATTCCATATATTTTGGTTCGACCATTCCTATAATAATTTATACTTCTTTCATCAATAAAAACGCAACAATACTAAAATACCTATTTTGCCCTTTTAAATTTTAATGCAACATTAATCAGTTTTATTTATTTATTTATTTATACGTCTAATAATATAAATTGTTTAGAATGGTGGTGTTGTGTTATATTGTTTCTAATAATAAAATTAATTTTATAAAAAAAAAATTATTTATTAATTTTTCTATTTTAATATAAAAATTTAGGATAATATTTATTAGAATTCAGAAGTATATATATATATATATATATA